TGAATCGAAGCGAAGCTTTTCCAATCAAGATTTGAAGAAGGGAATGTTATTTTGTACATCCACGGCAGTTGAAAAGAAGCGCATGATTTGGACAACCGAAAACTCTCAGAATAGAGTGCGGATCATTGTAGATACCCAGCAAGCAGTGACCTTATTTTGGGGTTAGCTGAAATTTCACAATGCAATTTCTGTTTCTAGCTGAAAGCAACGGCAAAAAGCGTGTGCAGAAATATTTCCTATCTGCTAAAATGTAGTTTGATTGTCTGCAAAGTCGAAACAACTTTCCAAAAACGTCAAATCTATTAATTATGTAGCAAATACGTTACCTTTTCAAAGTGAAACTTTGAAAGAGGATCTAAATGCAGGATAGCAGGGCTGAGAATAAACTCACTGCTGCATGAATAGGATTGCCTGTTTGGACCGTTCAGGTTTTCCATGAACGGTTGATGGCTTGTCACGGCTTGTCACGGCTTGTCACGGGCTGTCACGGCCTGTCACGGTCTGTCACGGTCATTTTCCGATAAGTCAATATTTTAAAAGGGCAAATTAGTATCCGTCACGGTCTGTCACGGCCTGTCACGGCCTCTTTTGGTCTGTGATTCAAACTCCTCCTATTTCACAGCTCTAGATGTACCCAAGCGTTGCCTCATCATTTCAGGCATCAACACACAACAGCTTATTGAAATGATTAAACGGTCACTATCCTTTTGTGTTGCCAGGAATGGACATCGCAATTTCATTGTAGTACTCAAAGTTTGCTTGTCAAGTAGTTGCCCACACTGCGCTGGTGGCATAACAATACAATAATTGCGACAAAAAACATTAGGGAGAACTCTATAGGATTCGACGCACCTTGGATTATTCACTTTTGTGTGCACTTCAAATTTCAGCGTCTCATACATGGCAGCTTTCAACCAAAAGTGCGCTACAACATGTGCATTGGCTACAATCATGCACTAGTCGCTCCAGTGTCTTGCATGGGAATCTTGTGATGAATTCAACCCCTATTTTCCAGATGCGCGCTCTGAGAGGCTCTGAGCAAAGAAAACACACAGGTTGACGTACATACACGCGATTTGACCTTTCTGGGCTAAATCATAAAGTCAAATTTGTAGACGAGGCAGTAAAGCCAAACAAGACCTCAACCAGAGCAGAGCACCACAAAAACAAACACACACACACACCAAAAAAAAAGACATGATACAATACAATGATACAAGCTCAAGAATGGGAAAAGGCAATGTTTTGAAATGTTTTGAAAATAATCGCAGCACAACACACTGGTAGCATGTTAAAAATGCACACTGAATCTACCAATGCAATGAAAGCATGGGGTAGAAACATATACGCCATATTCCTTTTCATTGCTGTATTTTTGCCACCAAATCTATATAATTGATGTTTGCTTTTGAATGTTCATGTTCGCGTTCCCCTTTCTTGCTAATTGAAAGGGAAAAGGCCGATACAAGGGCTAGGTATCTACAGCAAACATATCCATGGCGAATGAAAAGAGTCCAGCAATGATTGGCGATTGGTGTGAATGGGGAATCATGGAAATTTTCCTGGTCCTTTCATTTTGTGGCAGAACAATCAGTGGTAAATATGTTGTAGATCTCCATGACGCCCTCCTTGAAAAGCAAGCAAGAATTTGCTGATATCTGAATCGAAGCGAAGCTTTTCCAATCAAGATTTGAAGAAGGGAATGTTATTTTGTACATCCACGGCAGTTGAAAAGAAGCGCATGATTTGGACAACCGAAAACTCTCTGAATAGAGTGCGGATCATGGCAGAGACACAGCAATTGAAAGAAGCAGCAGCATCAGGCATTCGTGACCTTGTTTGCAGGAACTACCAAGTGTCACAAAGAGAATCCAACAAGTACTGTATTCATGTGCAATCTCAAGTTCGAAAATAATTTGGCTCAACACGTGGTCCAATTATGTAATGCCGCTGCACAATATCATACGTAGTTCTGAAGCAAACACACATTCATTTGGTACGCTAGGAATTGAAGCAACATGAAGCAACAATGATTTTGAGGGAAAAGTGGAGAAACGGGATACAAGATTTCAAGATGCCACGGATATGAGGAAAAAAAACACGAACTTGTTGGAATTGAACCATGTTTGGAAGCTCCACTGGGCACTAAATCCCTACTGCACCAATAGAGCCAACTGAAACGTGAAAAAATAACGGAAATCCGACACATTTATATTTTAATGGGCTGAACATCAATTAAAATCCGATAAGTATATGATTTGAGGGGTTAACGGAAAAGTATAAGAATAGTGCATACTTTTCCGATTTGGAGCTATTTGTAGATTTAGATCCTCAGGGATAGATAGATAGATAAATAGATAGATTAGATAGATCAGATAGATTAGATCGAGTAGATAGATTAGATAGATTAGATAGATTAGATAGATTAGATCGATTAGATAGATGAGATAGATTAGATAGATTAGATCGATTAGATAGATTAGATAGATTAGGTAGATTAGATAGATTAGATAGATAAGATAGATTAGATAGATTAGATAGATTAGATAGATAAGATAGATTAGATAGATTAGATAGATTAGATAGATTAGATAGATTAGATTAGATAGATTAGATAGATAAATAGATAGATAGATAGATAGGTAGATAGATAGATAGCTAGATAGATAGATAGATCGATAGATTGGATTAGATTAGATTAGATTAGATTGATAGATTAGATTAGATTAGATTAGATTAGAATAGAATAGAATAGAATAGATAGATAGATAGATAGCTAGCTAGATAGCTAGATAGCTAGATAGCTAGATAGATAGCTAGATAGCTAGATAGCTAGATAGATAGCTAGATAGCTAGATAGCTAGATAGAAAGATAGATAGATAGACAGATAGACAGATAGATGGATAGACGGATGGATGGATAGATGGATAGATGGATAGATGGATAAATGGATAGATGGATAGATGGATAGATGGATGGATGGATGGAGGATAGATGGACAGATGGATAGATGGATGGATGGATAGATGGATAGATGGATAGATGGATAGATGAATAGATGGATAGATGGATAGATGGATAGATGGATAGATGGAATAGATAGATAGATAGATAGATAGATAGAAACATAGGTAGATAGATAGATCGATAGATAGATAGATAGATAGATAGACAGCTACAACTGCAACTACTACTACTACTACCACCTACGACCTACTACCACCTACTACCACCTACTACCACCTACTACCACCTACTACCACCTACTACCACCTACTACCACCCACTACCACCTACTACCACCTACTACCACCTACTACCACCTACTACCACCTACTACCACCTACTACCACCTACTACCACCTACTACCACCTACTACCACCTACTACCACCTACTACCACCTACTACCACCTACTACCACCTACTACCACCTACTACCACCTACTACCACCTACTACCACCTACTACCTCCTACTACCTCCTACTACCACCTACTACCACCTACTACCACCTACTACCACCTACTACCACCTACCACCACCTACTACCACCTACTACCACCTACTACCACCTACTACCACCTACTACCACCTACTACCACCTACTACCACCTACTACCACCTACTACCACCTACTACCACCTACTGCCACCTACTACCACCTACTACCACCTACTACCACCTACTACCACCTACTACCACCTACTACCACCTACTACCACCTACTACCACCTACTACTACCTACTACTACCTACTACTACCTACTACTACCTACTACTACCTACTACTACCTACTACTACCTACTACTACCTACTACTACCTACTACCTACTACTACCTACTACTACTACCTACTACCTACTACCTACTACTACCTACTACTACTACCTACTACTACTACTACTACTACCACTACTACCACTACTACCTACTACCTACTACCTACTACCTACTACCTACTACCTACTACCACCTACTACCACCTACTACCACCTACTACCACCTACTACCACCTACTACCACCTACTACCACCTACTACCACCTACTACTACCTACTACTACCTACTACTACCTACTACTACCTACTACTACCTACTACTACCTACTACTACCTACTACTACCTACTACTACTGCTACTACTACAACTGCTACTACTACAAATGCTACTACTACAAATGCTACTACTACTACTGCTACTACTACTACTACTACTACGCCGCGGCGGCGGCGACGACGACGACGACCGCCACCACCACCACCACCACCACCACCACAGCTACAACTACAATTACAGCTACACTACATTACGCTACCATACACTAATTAAACTCGATACATTGCAGCTACAAATGCAAATGCAGCTACACTACATTGCGCTACAATACACTAATTAAACTCCATTACATTACAGCTACAAATACAACTACACTACACTACACTACACTAATTACATTACATTACACTACAGCTGCAACTACCACTACATTGCACTACACGACACTACACAACAACTACAACTACACTACTTTAGACCACAATACACTAGACTACACTACACTATACCACGCTACAGTACGCAACACTACAGTACACTACAATACGCTACGCTAATTACACACCACAACTACAACTGCAACTGCAACTACACTACACTAATTACACTACATTACAGCTACAACTTACAACTACAACCCCACTACACTACAACTACTACTACACCGACAACTACAACTGCATTATACCCCACTACATCCAGCAGTTGTGGTGAGGTGACCACTGCAACCATTGCAACCATTCCAGAAAACACAGCTCCAACCACCTTTCGGTCCATCAGTGGATTCGCTCTGCCATGTTGAGTCACAACAACAAACCCTTCGTATAGGCTTCCTATTTTTGAAACTTCCGCGGCACTACTGGTATATCTACTGTGTATATGTCTCCGTTTGTCCGTAACTACATTCACCAAACTTTCATTTTTCTGACTTCTTGGTGAAGGTTTGCGTTGACGACGTTGATCTCGACGCAGAGCTTGACAAGCAGCTGGGTTTTGCAAGTTTTGTATATTGTACCGGTTTTCGTTTTGCAGTTCTGGTACGATGTTCAGAACTTGGAGTATCCCACCGAAGCCTGGAAACATGATTGCAGACATAATGAGGCGCCAAGATTTGGTTCATGTAAACCTTCTACACAGTGCCACACCCCCTCAAGCAATGGTTCCCTTTCACGCCGAGACCACCTACGAGCCAATGCCAAATATTACCCATTTGTTGCTAGTGTAGTGCTATGTACCAGTTCGTACTAGGTTCCTTTCACCACCTCAGACGAAACCTTTGCCTCAGAAGCATGTCCTGCAATTCTCTTTTTAAAGAGGGTTCCTGACATGCACAAAATGTATTGTCACATGCAGTTCTTGCAACAAAATTAATATCGTGCCATGTCGAGCAAATCCATGCTGTTGCTCAGTGTGTAAGGCGATGCTCCAGCACGGCTCCGTGTATATTCTAATGCTAATTCTAGTCAGGGTCTGCCAGATTATGTTGCATTGATGCAATTCTTTAGGGCTTGAGAAGTTTCTTCTCCCTCAACAGGTGGTGCGTCACAAAAATATATAGCGGCCGCACTAGTTAAGTCGGTCGCAGTCAACAGTTCATGTTGGTGACAGGTTCAGCTAAACAAGAAACGAAATGACCAGCAGTCTCAACTGCAATGCATTTTGAATGAATGCCACATAGATGGAGGGAAACCAGCTTTGGCTTTGGCAAGGATCACTTTGAGTTCTCTCTCACCCGCGCGCACCACCATATCTCAGGATCTTGGGAGATGCACCACGCTACGCGGAGGTGTCTTCCAAGCATACCTGGCATACCTCAAGAATCTTCTGCTCTTTTTAGATTTCAATGCGGTCACGCTGTTTGCTGATGCCATGGAAGCAAAATGGAATCGCGCTAAGCAGCTGCACATGTCTTGGAGTGTCCATATGAGCTGACCAGGAAGCGGAGTCTGTGGAGCCACAGCCAGAGTACCCACTCAGGGTTGGGAGCACGGACTCTTTCCCGCAAGAGTTCTAAGACATTGTATACACGGACTGAATGACCGAATGGACTGGAAACACCAATATTGTATTGAATGGACTGGAAACATCAGTATCGTTTTTTGCTAGAGAGACTTGTGCTTGTTCCTTTTATCGTTCATGTTTGCTAGATGACCCAGGATAGCTTCGCCCTGGAGGTGGAAGGCTCCCCATTGACAGAGAATGATTTGGAAGGCGTGAGAGAGGGAGTGCCACAATGTCATACTCTTCGGGTCTCTTTGGATGGCTGTGACAGGGGTCCGTTTCTGTAGATACATGGGGAAAGAGGGCGCTTTGGCGCTTCGTTGTTGTGGTTGTCGTGGTTGTCGTGGTCGTCGTGGTCGTCGTGGTCGTCGTGGTCGTCGTGGTCGTCGTGGTCGTCGTGGTCGTCGTGGTCTTCGTGGTCGTCGTGGTCGTCGTGGTCGTCGTGGTCGTCGTGGTTGTCGTGGTTGTCGTGATTGTCGTGGTTGTCGTGGTTGTGATCGTGGTCATGGTCGTGGTCGTTGTCGTCATGGTTGTCGTGTTGTTGTTGTTGTGGTGGTGGTGGTGGTGGTTGTTGTGGTTGTGGTTGTGGTTGTGATTCTTGCAGCGCTGCAGTTGCCGCGTCAGAAAAAATAACATTCTTTCCAGGTGATTCGCACCGGCGAGGTGCGTAGCTTGAAGTTCGTTTCGCTGTGGTGAGTTTCCAGTCCGAATTTCTTTGAGCGATCTCCAGTTGAAGGCTTTCCTGACATTCCTCCGCTGCACGTGACCGCCATTGGAAATTCTCGGGCAGCCTCGCCGGACTCTCCAGGCAACTATGTTTGCTAACTTTGCCAATTTTCCAAAGCCACCTTGCTGACTTGATTGCCGCTGCTTTCTGCGGTTTTGATGGCCAGGAGAAATGGTGGATGCCCTCCTGAATGATCTAGCTGAATTGGGCGTAGGCCAGATTCATGAACAAAAACATGCATTCAGTCTCCGCAACTGATTCGAGGATGGTGCAGCCAAGAGTTTGCTTACTCTTGTTGTGGATTCAGCCTCAGCAGCTCCTGCATTCTGGCTCAGCAAGACAGTAAAAGTGCTCAGCAGCTTGTGGCATTTGGACGCCCTAAGCTTACCACACCTAGCATGCATAGCAACAAACCAAGACTTTGCAAAAGCATCAGGCACTACATAGGCAGAGCCAGCAAGTTCTGTGTTGTCAGATAGCCCGAGCCATGGACTGTCAGTGCTGGGGTGGGGCTGAGGGCCCAAATCCAAAAGCTGTGGCAAAGCATGGCATTGGACCCGATGTACCTGCTCTGCTTGAGGGCTGGGTCAGTGTGGAGACTTCCAGGTCATCAAAAACAAGAAGGGTCTATGCTCGTTTGACCGCTGATGCGTTGATCTTCTATCAAGACAAACCAGTGTATGATCCTGCATCCCTTCCACAGAATGGTGTGCAAGCTGTTTCTCCAAGTGCAGTGCCAATTGAGATGGTGCTTTTGACTCACATGGCATCTGTGCTGGGACGTGCAGAAGGCAGTGAACATGTCCGGGTGGCTGATAGCAGAGGCACTTGGTGGCAGCTGAGACCCGAAGCTCCCAGTTCTGTTGCTGACTGGGCGCAGGCCTTGGCCAAGCGATTTGACAAATTCAAGACAGCCAGGCGAAGAAGTTCGATGTACACGCCAGGTCAGACCCAGGAGTTGAAGATCCAACTGGAGGCGGCCCAAAAAGCCAAGAAGGGACGCCTCTTGAAGCGGCTGCTGTCCTTCCTGCCATGTGGTGATCGGGGCCATGACTTTTCCAAAGCCGTTGGTGGATCAGACCTTCCATACCGAGGCAACAGAGAAGGTGTGGGTGATCTTGTAGAGTTGGATGAGCTGCAGAAGGTTACAGATGTTGACCTCATGGAGGCGCAATCCATGCATTGGTCAGACAGTGCCGTGAAGTTCCTCCAGCAATGCAAGGGTGTTCCAGAGGAACTGCTCTCAGACTTCGCATCTTCTGTGCGAAAAGGTGTTCCAGATGGTTTGAAGAGACTCATTTGGCCACTTGCTGCTGGCCAAGCCATAGGCACAGATGTCTCTGAAGTAGATACTGCCGAGTTCTATCAGAAGTTGCTGTTCAGAAGCTTTGGAGCAGTTCACCCAGTGGAATTCCAAGATCCTGTGCCAACCTTTTGCCAAGGAGTGCAGGGGATAGAGGATGCTCCGCCATTGAAAGCTGTGGTGAAGCACTTGTGGCTCTTAAAACCCCAAGGCCAACACATCTTGCGACGGCTCCTTTGGGTCTCGCAATTGACCAGTCACCAGATTGAGTTCTGCCCTTTTCTGCCGAATTTGATGCTGGTCTTGTTGACCTTCTTCTCAGAGGCCGAGACGATGTTCATCATCAGTGAGCTGCTCCTGGGTACCGAAGCGCCAAGTGACTATCCCAAGATCATTTTGAACCTGTCACAGATGCAGAAACAGGTCAAAGTCTTCATACGTGAGGGGAAGAAGCGAGGAAACATTCCCGAAATCCTTGCGCATATGGAAGGTCTAGGAGTGAATCTTGAAGAGGCTGTCACCCGTTTCTTACAGGATGGTTTGGCTAGCAAGCTACCCTTCCGCACGCTCACCCGTTTAGTGGGCGCCTTCCTAGTAGAAGGTTCCGAAGTCATTCTCCGCTTTGGCATGGCCCTGTTGAAAAGGAAGCAGGAATCCATCCTGGCATGCAAGACTGCAGCGGAAGTCACACAGGTCTTAGACCATTCAGAGGACCAGGTGAACCATGAGGAGGTCGAGGCCTTGTCCAAGGTGGCATATTCCCTTCCCATCAAAAATTTGTCCATGGCCAGGGTGAGCAGTTCCTGGAAGATTTCCTACGCAGCACCAAAACAAAGCTACGAAAAGCACCTTTTCTGCCGACCTCGCTTGTACGAACCACGGGGGAATGTTCCAAATGCTGTTTGGGAAGCCATCTGGCCGTGGGTGCCGGCGAACTGCAGGGTGTATGACCCACACCTGGTCTATGTACCAGTCATGGATGGCACTTCTCTTCGTACCTGCCTGGAAAAGTGCAAGAAAAACAAAGATGCGGCAATGGTGTTCTTCGCTTATGGCAAGAACTTGGACATCATGGGCGGCTTTTCCCCTACAATTTGGGCCAGAACCAGCGGGTATTTGGATTTGATGAGCTTTGCCCGGGCTGCTGAAGATGCCTTTGTCTTCAGGAGGCTGCAGGGTGGCAGTGTGGATGTCTATCCGTGGACAGGGGCCAACCAAATGTTGATGCAGGCCAGTGAAATGAACGGTTTGGTGTTTGGTGGTGATGATGCTGCGATACACATTAACAAAGACTTGCAGCGTGCAAGTTCCAGTTCATGCAAGTCATTCAACTCGCCACCATTGCTCCCAACAGGTGGGCACCAGGCTGATGTTGATGCCGGTCAGGGCATTGGAGATTGGTTTGAGATTGTGAGGTTTGAGGTCTTCGCTTTGAAGTGAAGGAGAAACTTGCTCAGATGCATCTGGGCATTTGTGTTTTAGAATGTTTCGCCTGAAGTGTGCACGAAGGCATGCAAGGAACTGCGGAAAGCCGTGTCAAAAAGAGGCTCAGGGCCAGCGTCCCTATAGTGCCTTCTAGAATAACCTCAAGTCATGACCTCATGTCACATGAGCCAAGATTCCTCTTTTCTGCTTTCAATTCTTCCTAAATTGAAGGCGATGACCTGCCGAGCTCTGGTCGCCAGCCGCATCCACCACCGGTCTGCCCATGCATGTGGATTTATGGTGTCGTAGTGACGTAGTGCGTTTTCAGAATCAGAAGCCAATTTGTCTGGCTGGGTTCTCACTTTGACGCTTTGGAGGTCCCTCCCAGTTTCATCCATTCAGGTCAGCCCAGGCTCCAAGCCCACTTGAAAAGATCTCAAAGGGCTCCTCCCTCTCCCATGGCAAAGAACTATAAAGAACTGACATGCAGAGACCCAATCTCTTCTGCCTTCTTCAAGTTAAGCCATGTTGCTAAATTTTCCAAAAGCTCTCTCTCTCTCTCTCGTTCTGTCTGTCTCTGTCTCCGTCGTTGTCTCTGTCTCTGTCTCTGTCTCCCTCTCTCTTTCTCTCTTTCAGTTCGCGACTAGCTCAGGGCAGGTATGCCTGGAATTGATATCAAGCAAACCCGGCCCACTACGCTGTCTCGTGCTTGTTCTGCCAGCCCTACGCCGGCTCCCTGGCCGTGGAGAATGAGAGGGAACGCATGTCAATGCTTGTTCCACAGGTGCCCGAATGCGAGTCGAGAAGCTTGAAATAGACAACTCATTGCGTTTGAAAGCCATCAGGGTCATCGACGCATGGAAGAAACGAGAACACGTCTACATCGGAACCTGCAGACAGGGCTTGAGACAATTCAGAATCTGTAGAGATGCAACAAGGCATTCAAGGGAGGGCGAGGAAACTTGTTGCAACTCAGCCGGATTAAGGCTTACAATGGCTTACAAGCATCCAAAAAAGCTGCTGTCCTGCTACTTTTCACAGAAGCGTTGCAGGAGTTGCCCTGGAGTCCTGATGAATGTCTTGAGCTCCGGCGGGTTGCCACCGGGATTGCATTTCAGCCCTGCGTTTTGTAAGCTCTGCTGTTAGGACTTCGAGCTTTGGGCCTGACAGTTGGAATGATGGTAAACTCCGATGATTGCCTTGTCATTGCAGCCATCACTCCATCGGTATTACGGTATCACAACATCGCATCCATCAAAGGTCAAGCGAATTGTCCGATCTGGGAACTCCGACGCCTCTGACAAAGAGCAGATCTGGTTGGAGGCAGGGATTATCGATGAATTGCAGTAGAGCTAGCTTGTTTTGATTGGGAAGCTCCCTCTGGCAGTATAGTATGATGTGACATGACACCATCCAAGATCCTGAAGCCTTTTTCCCTTGAGGAACAGCTCAAAGGCCCAGTGGTCCGTACAGATTATAGAAGGATATAGAATGCATTAGAATGCTGTTGCTGTCGATACATTTTCTTGATTTTTCTTGCATTTTCAAGGGGTGCAGAGGTCAGCCGAGAAATGGGCGGACGACGAGCACCCAGAGAATGTAAGGTGCAATATGCCCGGGACTATAAAGCTGTGACTTTGAAGGCATTCATGATGACGACAGGTAAGCAAGTTGAGCTCAATGCGCCTGCATTTCACACTGACCAAACATGATGCCTTTGCAAGGCTAAATTCATGGGCAGTTTTCCCTGACGTTGCTATATATGTTGTAGCGATTCTATTCCCTGCTGAACCCACATTTGTCAGACGCACAAATCGCTTGTGAAATCCCTTGGGTATCTTGAATCTAAGGACAAACTCAGAAGAGAGGCACCTTTCTTGCACAAAGCCATCGCCACTACAGACAAGACTAATACTGAACCACCTTCGAAGTGCGAATGCAACCAATGAGAGTCCACAAACATGCCGAACCAATGACATGAAGCATACATGTGCAGTACCCCGCTTCTTTTCGGTTATTTTGTTGCGGTTTTCACTGAGGCAATGGTCAGCGCCTAGCAGAGAGCATGGCATGTCCTTAGATTTACCGCGGTTGAGACCCGTTACCAACTCAGACGAAGTGACTGAAGCGTTTCAGTGCGATTCGAAGAAAAGCACCTGGAATACAACATGTTGATATAAAAATAGCTAGATAGATAACACCTGCACAGTTGATGGAGAGAGAGAGAGAGAGAAACACCTCCACAATATTCCACAATCACTCACATGTAGGTCCAAATATGAATATATAGCACTGAGAAAGCAAAAGCACATGTGCAATATACGCATATATATACATGGTATTTTACATTCTGTATTATATTGCAATGCGTGTATGTACGCACACACACACACATATATATATATATAATATGCAAATGGGAACTACACAAAAGTAGCACATGAATACAGCTGTTTATTGAGCATGTGCCTGACCGCCATTACATATGGCTCAAGTCCAACGCGAGAAAAGATTGCACTGCGCTGCCCATGTTGCTTCCGTGTCGGCAATAACAATACGCACGTCGGGAACTCTGGAACCTTTCACAACAGATCCCGAACAAGGATTTAATTGTTCACATGATCTACGCCATAGGACAACAGAACATGATACAGTAAAGCGATTTGCTAGTTACAGGAACAACGAGGCCGAGGCAATTGCTCAGTTGAGGTTTGAATCGAGCATCAGCGCGAGTGTCAGAGATAAAATGGAGCACTACGAGATGCTCTATGAGAATGAGCGAGCAATGACGAATGAACTCAAGACCGAGGTCAAGGACAGCGAAACAAAACTGAGACGATCGACTCAGGAGAATCTAATGGCCATCGGCCACGGTTCTAACTATGCAGCAATTCAACATCTTGAGACTGAAGTTAAAGTTGCACAGGTTAGAGCCCAGGATCTTACTGAAGAGGTTGATGAATGCATGTGTGTCAACATCAGGTTAAGGGATGAATTGACGGACGCTTCGAAGCAAGGGCCATCGGCCCACTTCGGATCTGAAGTCGCTATCGTGAAATCTGAGCTTGAGAGTGAACGTAAGCTTAAATTAGCCAATGGTGCCCAGCAATATGAACGATCATGTGAGTATCTAGGAGAGTTACGGGAGAGGGACGAAAAGTTGAAGTTGAAGGAATCCGAGATCATGGTGTTGAGGAATAGTCTTAAAGAGGCTGAAACAATCATCAAATACCAACTACGAGATGCTCTATGAGAATGAGCGAGCAATGACGAATGAACTCAAGACCGAGGTCAAGGACAGCGAAACAAAACTGAGACGATCGCAGGAGAATCTAATGGCCATCGGCCACGGTTCTAACTATGCAGCAATTCAACATCTTGAGACTGAAGTTAAAGTTGCACAGGTTAGAGCCCAGGATCTTACTGAAGAGGTTGATGAATGCATGTGTGTCAACATCAGGTTAAGGGATGAATTGACGGACGCTTCGAAGCAAGGGCCATCGGCCCACTTCGGATCTGAAGTCGCTATCGTGAAATCTGAGCTTGAGAGTGAACGTAAGCTTAAATTAGCCAATGGTGCCCAGCAATATGAACGATCATGTGAGTATCTAGGAGAGTTACGGGAGAGGGACGAAAAGTTGAAGTTGAAGGAATCCGAGATCATGGTGTTGAGGAATAGTCTTAAAGAGGCTGAAACAATCATCAAATACCAAGAGGATTCAAACATGCTCCCATACTCTGCAGGTATACCTCACAGCGATCTATCTTCAAGAGCGATCATTGGAACGTTGGAGAGCGAGGTCAGGGCTGCCAATGATGAATCAACCGTCCTTCGAGCATGGGTACGACAACTTGATGAAGCACTGAAGGAGGAAAGTATTGCAGCGCAGCCCAACAGTGCCTTGACAATGGAGCAAGCCTATCAACGACCAGCACATCCTGAGCATCAGAGAGTATCTGAACTTCTGCGTGATGTCAACAGGAAGATTTTAGCTGGGATTGGAGTGAAGGTTGCTGAAGGAGCAGGTATTCCTGACTACAAGATGCCTAGTGGTGGGGACGGTCCCGATCTTCCAAATGGGCCGCCTGATCCCGATGGACCGCCTGGACCTCCGAATCCTCCTGGACTACCTTCTCTTCGAGGGTCACAAAGGGATTCTGCAATCGACGTTGAATCTACAGCAGCATTCACTGCCGATGAACCCCCAAGAATTTCTCGACGAGAAGCTGACAAAGTTTATGTTAGTCCATGGCCGAAACATCAAAATTTGGGAGTTTGGCAATCTGATCTTATCAAAAGTGTATGTCTTGCAGCCAATGACGGCGATCGAGCCGCTTGGGAGACATGGTTGCAAGCGGCAATCAGGCAGAACCCCGACATCGATGCTCTGAACGACAGCGGTGGCCAAAGATTTCAATCTATTGATGCTCAGCTTTCCATTGCATTGTCGAATGTTATCTCACAGGCTGGTGACGTAGCACGACACGTTGCAATGAAGCTGAGACTCAGGACTCAGGCCAGCAATCGAAGAGCGACCTTTGTCATGGGACGGGAGATTCTCGCCATGATTCTAGAACATTTCAGAACGCCAGGTCAACGAGAAACTGCATTCACCATGGAGCACATCATACAGTCAAGGTACCTAGGTGATGCCAACATTGAAACGTTCTATGAGAAGTGGATGGAAATTGTTTCCAACATGATGCCGGATGACGTACCTCCCGATGATTGGTTGCGTGACGCTTTATACAAGAAGATCAGAAATTCCAATTTGATGGTCTATGTCATAAAGCAGTATGAGTCATGGATGGAAGGAGATCCAAGAAGGACATACCAACACCTCATCAATGTGATTGAGCGCCACGTTGCTAGAGTAAGGGAGGACAAACATGTTGCGGCCAGGGAGAAGTACGCCAGAGATTTTGCTGGCGGAGGTAAGCCGACCGCACCTACACCTACAGCTCCTGCACCTCCTGATGCTAATGCCAAAGCCAAGGCAAAAGCAATGGCTAAGGAGAAAGCAACTCCGAAACCCAAAGCAAAGCCTGAAGCTGCTCCTGTACTACCATCACCTCAACCGAAACAACATGCAAAAGGGAAAGGACAAGGGAGAAAGGGGAAATCAAAGAGCCGAAGTGCTAGCCCTCGTGAAAAGAAGACGATTCCTTGTCACTTCCACTTCATCAAGAAGTCTTGCAAGAAGGGAAAAGATTGTGAATACAGCCATCGATGCCAGCAAGAGCAGTGGATCGGGTAAAGGAGGTGGTAAGACCCCAAGAGGACAATCTCCAGCGAACAAGACCAAGAAGATCGACGAGCCATGTTGGCACTGGGCAAAAGGGAAATGTCGATATGGTGACAAGTGCAACAAACGACATGACCCGCACTTGTTCAACACGGCACCAAACACTGAGTCGCCTTCATCAAAAGCGACTCCTGCACTTCTACATGATGACAGTGACATCGAGGAACCACTCTTCAAGATTGCGTCCAACGTGGTGAAGAAGAAGGTCAAGTTCAACTCACAGAAAGATGAAGTTCACATCTATGAAAAGAAGGACTTTGTGAAGTGCATGCGTAAGTCTGAGACCAACTCCAAAGGACATGGGAAATTGGGTAGGATCACAGAAGAAACCAGAAAAGATGAACAGTGGGCTTACTCTTGTAGACTTGCTCGCAGTCGTGGGAAAGCAATGGCTATCATCCTAGATGAGAACTATGACTACTGTGACATTGATGAAGTCCTTATCATTGTCGGCCCTGCCATGGACATTATGATCAAAGTAGAATATGAAGATGACGAAGTGTCGCGCGAAGTGTTCACGAGAACTATGTCCAACATGTTGATGGCCGCTTTGGTAAGAGGGACAACATCATGTGTATCACAGTTCCAGTTGAGGAAAGAGATAAGAAATTCATTATGGATTCAGGAAGCGGACTTGACTTGATATCTGCAAAGAAGATTGACAGAATGGATCTTCCAACTTATGACGATTCAGTGGTAAACTTTCACACTGCCAATGGTGTCACATGTTCTACCAAAAGGTCAGACATCAAGTTCGAAGCTTTCGACGAGCCTGCTCAAGCGCACATCCTGGAAGACACGCCATCAGTGATGTCCATGGGGAAACGTTGTGTTGACCTTGGTTATTCATTCATATGGCCATCTGGGAAAACTCCGTATATGCTTGATGCCAATGGGAACATCATCGAAATGACTGTCAAAGATTACATCCCATACGTTAGCGTAGACCGGAAAAAGAAGAAAGGGACATCATCGAAGATTGCAAAGATCCTCAATATCATTAGCGATGAATGTTCCACATCGGAAGGTGAAAGTCTGATGGTCATCGACGGTGAAAGCGGGGATGAGCTGGAAGATCTAACCGACATCGTCGGAAGGTCGGAAGGCAAGTCACCGAAGAGGGCAAAAGGTAGGAAAGGCAAGAAGAAGAAGAACAAGGCCATGCCCGAGGTTGCCGTTGGAAGTGATGCAGGTGATGCTGAAGAAATGTCATGCCATGGCGATGAGTATGTCGAGCATGATGATGACTATGCTGACTTCGACGACGATTCTGGCTATGAACCAAGTTTGGGTCCAGATGCCGAAGAAGGTGAGCACGACGTAGAAATTGAAGAAATCCCTGAAGGAGAAGCACGCGAAGATGATGATGATGTCATCGATGTAGATGAAGAAGATGGAGGAGTCAGACTTAGCAAGAGAGGAACACTCAAGAATGAGGCCAGGTCCAAGCTCCACCTCTTGACCCATAGATACAAGAACCCTTATTGTGAGTCATGCGTTCGTGCAAAGATGAAACACCGAAAGACCTTCCGAGGAGCCTTTCAACGCAAGCTCACGAAGTTTGGGGACCTGATCACATTCGACTATGTCGACAATCGTCGAATCGCTGAACAGGACTATGGTGACGACAAGACCATCTTCGTCATTCGTGATCGGTACACTGGAATGCTTCAATCATATCCATCTGCTTGAAAAGACACCGATGCCGTGATCAGAGCAGTGAAGCAGTTCATGGGTCGACGAAAGATTCG